GCGGGACAACCACCTTATATAATAATGTTTGACATTTGAAGATTTTTGCTCTTTGAAATTGGGAAGAAGTAAAAAAATAAACATATTTAACATTTAATAACGTCTATAGTAACAATGAATTTTTAGGGTTATCTTTCTCCTCCTAGGCTATCCACATCAGCAACAAAATCATTAATTGTATTTAAGATGTTTAATATATGTATATTAATATTTCTTTATATATATTCCTATTTTACACATAAACAAAACTAAGAAAAATACATAAACAATTTAGGCTCTAGCTGGTAATGCTTAAAAGAACACAAGGAATAGGAATGAAAGGAATGAAGAGGAACAAAAAATATGGAACTTATTCCTTCCCATATTTTATAAGTAATCATTTAACACTAAAATTCCTTAACCAATATGGAATGAGAAGGAATAATATGAAATGCACATTCTTTTTAAATGGTGTAATTCTTAGGGAATGAGAGGGAATTTTATTATTCCCCTTCATTCCATGGTCACCAGTTAAAGCCTTAATTGATTAATATAAAGTATGTGATATCTTGATGTTAAAAGTTAAAATAAAGTTGTAATATAAAATGGAGATGAAATAAAGAAATATTTAACTTAAAATAGTATATAGTTAGGTTTTAACTCAAAGGATTTATCCTATTTGAAAATGTTATAATATGCTTACAAGTAAAAAAGGTACAGTATAAATTATTTAACATAGTAAAAAGCTAATAAAAAATTAGAGTTAGAGTTTGTTTTATTAAAAAATAGAAGTCGAGTTATTATTTAAATTTCATTGCAACGAAAAGTATGAAAATTTTAAAATGGTGACATGTTTGTTCCAAAAATACAATTTATATTTCTATATAATCAATTGTCATATGCTACCACAACAAAGCATATATGTAAGAAGTTATACATGCATTTGTTTTTATCATATTTTGAGTGCAATTGCGATTCTACATCATGTTTACAAATTTTAACGTTGAGTCAAATGCATATTAAGTTTTAGAAATAGAAAACTCGAGATGAAGTAAGGTGTTAATATCTTAATAAAAAAAATTGATCATATTGGTGTTAATTGTTGGGTTAACTCAAAATATAACCAAAACATGGAAGTTAACATATAACCGTCATAATTCAAAATTTCAAATCAATGAATATAAATAAAATCAAACAGAAAAATTATCGCTAACAAAGCGCGGGGCTTTAATCCCTAGTAAATTATAATGACAAGGTCAACTTAATTTTTTAGGAGTTTTCGGAGAAGAACTTAGGTTTATTTTTGTTGCCAGTTCGCTTAATTTTATGGCTTTATACTTTTCTTTTCCCCATTAAGTGCCTATAAGTATACCATTTACTCCCTAGAAAAAAAATCGAATAAAGAAAGCAAAAAAAAATGTCAAAATCTTTGTCAAAATCTTCGTTTATGACCATCCAATTCCTCTCTAGATGGTCATAAATCAGCTTTGGAATCATTATGTAGCCACTTATCCAAAGATACGTACGTGTAGTCGTATACCTTCCATCGCAATGTGAGTAAAAATTTCACATAAGGATAGAATGGTTAGTTGGTAGTTAATAGTATTCGGCTACTAATTTTCTTTTTCTGCTATAATTAATTAAAATGGAAAGTCAATAGCCTCATCACATGTAGTTGACCTAGAATCAACATCAAAGGTATAACACCTAAAAAAATATAAGAGCGACTTAAAACCTTTGCTTTACTATACCTTGGCGAACAACCGGACCTAATAACAATATCAAACTGAGAAAATCTTCTCTTTATGATATAACATCTTCTTTTTTCCCTAGAATAAATGTGTTCAACTTCTTCTTTTCTCATTTCTCTGTCTCTACGACTCTACTTGCCATGTCTTGCAATCAGACCGGACTTCATATCCTCGTATAAACATACACATGCTTATATCGAAGGTTTTACAAGTTTGAAGAGTTAGAACTTCAATGTCTTAAAATCCCTACACAAATGACAACAACATCCATGTATAATGGGTTTTTATTTTTATGTTTCTAAATTTTAATTGTGTGCGCCTATACAACAATTAGAAGAAAAAATTATACGAAAATTCAATTGTAATTAAAAATTTATTAGTAAATATTAGCTTAACGATTATTATTGCAGTAGAATAATATATAGTGGTTGGGAGAATGTGAAAGGCATTTTAGAAGTAAGATTTCAAAGGTTGAACCATTTTGCTTTGCACGCTGAAAACCTTTTAATGCATAATGACTATGAGTCTAAGACTACAGTAAGTTACTATATATCGCAGGGGATGAGGTGAAAAATACAGAGACTGGTCCCAAGAACTTAGCCCCACTCAATGAACCCAGACGTGACCTCTTTGAATATAAACCCATCTTTCTATTTTCGGCTGCGAGGTCCACTTCCCATTACGTCTTGACGTGGACCCTGTCCGTCTATTTTTAGCAACTTAATCCTACGGTTCTTATTCCTTCTTCTATCTTCCACGACACCGCCTTAAACCGTCCGATACCAATGGACCACATCACAAGTACTTCGCAACTTAGCTGTCGTGTAGGATTTCACGTGGCATTTATTTGAAGTGCAAATTGCAAGTTGATGTGGTCTCCACGCTTTAGCATCGAGATTCCTCTTTCTTTCATACGTGTAATAGCATTTTTGATCTGAGAGCTCATTGTGACCGTTGGATCTCATCGATGTGATCTATCCTTGGTGGGTCATCTGTGTGTTGTCTAGGGCATAAAATCCCAAAGCGAAGAAAAATAGTATTTCCAAGTGATTCTTTCTTTCTTATTATCCCCTTTTTAATGCTTTTAGACGTAGAAATTTATTCGGCGATAGCCACTTTTTCCGAATTATATATCTTACAAGATCTCGAGTCTTATCATCAATATATAGTATGCCTTACAGATATATTTTTGTTGTTGCTGGATAAACCCCTATAGAGAGACTTCAAGAATGTCTTTATTAACTTGAAATGTTTAAAAACTAAAAATAGTACCATTGTTAGTCTCATATACCTTGTAAATCCACCACATATACTATCAGTGAGGAATATTTGAATTTTTTGGGCTATTTAAGAAAATAAAAACGAAGGTAGCCGAATAGTACAACAAGAGAAGATCATTGGTATGACATCAATAAAATAAATAGTTGAATGTACTTTAGTTTCTCTTTTGGTTTAATGCACACCATCTCTATCATTTTGTCGCCATCTTACATTGAACGATATGACCAGATCTGATAAGAAGTAAGAATACGTACTTGCCATTTGTTCTCATACATTTTGATTGTAAGTTAACTAGCGATTTCTTAGCGTTGACAAAAAAAAATTGGGCGGCAAAAGGCTATTTTATAGCAATAGATTGAAGAAAATTAAAAGATTCATAATTAATCTCGAGTTGATACTAAAGGGAACTAATAAAACACATGCAAATTTTCCTTAAATGCTTCTATGCTCAAGCAAGATAAGTGTCAATCAAGATTCAGTTTGCAAATCAAAGAAAATAATATTTAAGGTTATAGTTTATATATAACCAAACAGAATAATCATGCTATGTTTAGTTTTTCTAATTGAATCATACCTTTGTGTCCATCACCTACTTACCGGTCAAAATAAAGCAATTACGTCTGCAAATAAAAAGCACTAAGAGTTTTGGTCAGACACGATCTCTTACATCGGACGAACCCTAAGATAACCAAAATAAACTATAGCTTATATTCAAAACGCTGTTTATTTTATCCATTTATGTTTTCTTCAGATTCTGTGTGTGGTGTCTCAGGCTCTCAGACGTACCAAACTGAATTTTATCAACATGTTAGTATTTTTATAAACAAGAACTAGAAATAATATACATTTTATTTTTATTTATTTCGAGACTGTTATTGAATTTGTACAGTAATTTTAACTAACAAATATTTATAGCACTATATATAAAACTGGAAAAAGTGAACAAATCTAGCAGTAAGAATTTAGATGTTGTTACAACATAAATGAAACACAAAAAGGGTGTGTTTTACTTTACATTTTACACCAATCACAAGGGTAGTTCCGTAAGTTGAAAAAATCGTACGAGGCTTCGCCTAGTTAAGGTTAGGTCACATGATTCCCAAAAACTCGATTATAAAAGTAAGGAAAAAAAACAATTATAATTAAAATCAAATCCAAAGAATCAGGTGGATTTATCAGATCCTACCATCAAGATATCGACACGTGTCTTAACTCATTCATTGCCCTACTCTTTTCTGTTTAGGGTTGCCATCACTCTTCTCATCATCTCTTCTCCACCGTCAGATTCAATCTCTCATTTTCAACATCACTCAATTACGAAGCATCCAATTAAATATCTCTGTCTCTCTCAACATATTAAAAGGCTTTAATTTAACGGTTTTAAATGTTAGGGTTTATATGTAGGAATTTGCAATTAATCCCCCCATAAACTCGTGATCAAAAAGTAAAAAAAAAAAGCATCTAACTTTCTTTAACTGGGCCAGAATCACATTACTTCTCTAAACTAAAGAGTTGAAACTAAAACCACTACTCTTTATTTCCTTTTACCAATTATGTATAAACAAAAAATGTCCCAGTTTTCTAGGTGTGAAAATATCTAAGCATCAATAGAGTAATTAACATTTTTTATCCGATTTGCAATATTTGCATAAATCCTATGTGGTGTTTGTAACTTGTAAGTAGTACACAATAATTGAGGAGGGTATATAGTTGAAGGTAAGAGTATATAGAAAGAGAATATTTATGAAAGATTCAAGTAATGAAGCTGACATGTTAATGTACTTGAGAGAAGTGTTGTAAGCTTGTACAAATCATGTGTATATGTACACTTTGAAAAATTAAAATAAGAGAGAAAATAGAAAAAAGAAAAAGAGAAAAAAATAAAGGAGAGAGAGGCTCATATATATATAATTGCAAGGGGAGAGAGAGAGAGAGAGAAAGAAAGAAAGAAAGACTTAGAAAATTTGGAAGAAGTAAGAAAGAAAAAAAATGGGAAGAGGAAGAGTAGAATTGAAGAGGATAGAGAACAAGATCAATAGGCAAGTGACGTTTGCAAAGAGAAGGAATGGTCTTTTGAAGAAAGCATACGAGCTTTCCGTTCTATGTGATGCGGAAGTTGCTCTCATCATCTTCTCAAATAGAGGAAAACTGTACGAGTTTTGCAGTAGTTCGAGGTATATTTATATATCTATTCCTTTTATATCCATGTATTGATTTGATATCTTTAAAGTAAAAGTATATATTATATGTTTTGTATGGGTCTCTCTGATGTGTTATGTCGTACGTGTTCTATCATCTTTTAAGAGAAAGCAAAGAGGAAATGTTTTTGGGGGAATACCCATTTCTGATCATTTTTAAAAGATTAATAGCTTTGTCTTATATTTTGAGTTTCTGATGATTTCCATTTTTGTTTTAGTTTTTCTTGCACATATATCAATGTTTTTGTTGCAGCTGGATCATAAGCTTCTTCTTTGTTTGTCTGTCCTTAGAATGTCTGCTTAATTACTTGATATGATCCATGACTTTTAAAAATGTTGCATTTTAAATCTGAAAAAAAAAATAAAACATCGATCTAATATGAATTTTTAGGGTTAATTATGTATTCTCTAGAATAATTTCTTCACAGCTAATTAATAGTGTTCCCACCTTTTGATTCGTGGTGGTCTAATCCAATCAAATCACTCAATTTTGAAGTCAGATTCATAATTAAACTAGGGTTTATTGTTTCCATGGCTAGTCACTTTTTACGTTTTAGGGGCATCCAATTTTGGTTTGAATTGACGCCAATGTCAAATTCATCTAATATCCATTGGATCTTTACTTCAGATCCATCCCTCTTTCTGGGTTTTCTTAGATCTTCTCTGAAAGACTCCAAGATTTTCTTGTAAACATAAAAACTCCAATTTAGTCCCCACGTTCTTCATTTGAACTTGATTTTTTCTAATTACCAAAGTTTATTTGACACTTGAGTGATAATTGATTGATTTCGTTATTGTGATGCAGCATGATACGGACTCTGGAGAGGTACCAAAAGTGTAACTACGGAGCACCAGAGCCCAATGTGCCTTCAAGAGAGGCCTTAGCAGTTGTCTCTTTTTCTATAACCTTTCTTAACTACTTCATTTTTCTTAAGCATTTCCTTTAATTAACTTCGAATCCAATAATTAGTGTTAGTTTTGTCATGCAGGAACTTAGTAGTCAGCAGGAGTATCTCAAGCTTAAGGAGCGTTACGACGCTTTACAGAGAACCCAAAGGTAAAACTAATTGACTCAGCAGGCTAATTAGCTTCAAAACTGATTTTTTTTTTTTTTTTTTTTTTAAAACTGATTTTTGATGATATATTTTGTTTTTTCTTGAAATAGAAATCTATTGGGAGAAGATCTTGGGCCACTAAGTACAAAGGAACTTGAGTCACTCGAGAGACAGCTTGATTCTTCCTTGAAGCAGATCAGAGCTCTCCGGGTACTAATTGTTCAATTTCTCATATGTTTTATTCACTTATGGGGTCCATATTAATGAAGATGCTATATCATAAATTTTGGTTTCTGCAGACGCAATTTATGCTTGACCAGCTCAACGATCTTCAGAGTAAGGTAATTAAAACAAAACTTGAATGACGAGCCAAAAGACCCATATACATCTCGAAAACCTAACACTAATGCTCGAAAATCAAATATTTGGAGCAGGAACGGATGCTGAGTGAGACAAATAAAACTCTAAGACTAAGGGTATAATATAAAATATGTTCTCATATCATATACACTTTAATTTCATTAAACTGGTTACTATTTAAGTTTTATTAGTTCACTAACAAGTGTGTACGTGGCAGTTAGCTGATGGGTATCAGATGCCACTCCAACTCAACCCTAACCAAGAAGATGTTGATTACGCTCGTCATCAACAACAACAGGAACAACACTCTCAAGCTTTCTTCCAGCCGTTGGAATGTGAACCAATTCTTCAAATGGGGTGATTAATTAACTCTTGAATTCTAGTTAAACTAGTTTTTATCTTTTTTTTTATATATATCTTAAATTAAAGTTTCTTGATTAACGATGGAGCAGGTATCATCAAGGGCAGCAAGATGGAATGGGAGCAGGACCAAGTGTGAATAATTACATGTTGGGTTGGTTACCTTATGACACCAACTCTATTTGAAACTTTTTTAATCCTTTTTTTGACATTTTAAACCTTTCCTCTCTTTCACTCTTAGGCTACATGATGATTGCCTCTCTCTCATATTTATGTCTTGTGTGCATGTGTGTGTGTGTAATGTTTATGCCCTTCTATAATTCAATAAGTTTTCTACAAAAAAATTTTACTAACCCATATTTAATTTGGCAGTTATTCCTATACACTGAGACAAAAATCTTTTATGTTTGTTTCAATTGAGCAGCCAGTTCCAAATCGTTTTAGCTCCTGTTTTATGTTATGCAAGGCTTTGTTCAAATGTGGTTAACAATCAACTAACTTTTAAAAACTATAATGTGTATGGAATAAGGAATACTATAAATATAACTCCATTATCTTGAGACTCTTGGTTTTTTTACGCTAACCAAATAACAGAAAATTGTTGTCTATTCGTTAATTTATTTCTTTTTGCTCTAACCTGGACTTTTTTATTCATCCAACGTGGTGTTACTCATATGATTATCCCATTCTTACACAGAACTTAACCAACTTGGCACTATAGAATAGACCTTAGAAATATGATTCGCAAAAGAAAGAGGTTCCTTCGCTATTCTATCTGCCACTCGATTGCCCTCTCTTAGGTGATAGATCATTCTTTAATTCTCAACCCGCCTAAGCTTGTGATTGGTGTTTTGTGCAATTGCTTTGAAGAATGGGCCAGCCGTTCTCTTTTGATAGCGTCTCAACTAGCTCCTTGGAGTCAGTTTCATAGATAATTAAGGTTCTGAATGGTGACAGCGTGTTGTGCGGTTTAAAAGGAATTAGAGCGCGATGCGTTTTAACTTTTATATATGCGGATAAAATTTGATTGCAGAACAAATGCGGTTTATGCAGAATAAGCGGTACAAACTAATGTTTGATTGGTGAAAAAATAATTAGCGGTACAAAATAATATCTATAAAAAATTGTAGAATCAAAAATATGAAATAATTGTAATTTTGAAAACTATACAATAAATATTAGTTAAATAATTATTTACAAATAAAAATATTTAATAATAAAACTTAATTAAAGTAATTTTTAAAATTTTGGTACATATATTGCCAACCCAAGTAATCAATTAATCGTAAAAAAAAAATACATTACAATAAACAATATTATCGAGTATTTTAAAATTTCCATAACAAATTTGCAATATTATCTCTTGTTTGTGCCATATGTTGTCCATCTCCTATGTCAGCTGCTTCCAAGTAACCTAAATCAGATTCAAAATCTATATTGTTTACACCCGTCTCTGTCATGACATGCAATATATATATCTTCATTTGAGAAATTTGTAATTTTGATAAAATTATGCAATCCCATAGTAGCCATTACCACTCTCTTTTGTATGTGCATATTATATCTTGAAAAATCAGAAAAAATCCTCCATTTTTTTTTCGAAACTCCAAAACTTCTCTCGATAACATAACGCATATAGACGCATGATATCTGTTAAGCAATTCTTGTTTATTCCTAGGTGCAGGACCAGAGTTGAAATGGGACATATGATATCTCACAACTTCATTACGTGATGATCTATTAGGAGCTAAAAATCCTTGTTTATTTGGATAGCTAGAATCAACGATATAATACTTCTCTAGTGGAGGCAAAGAGAAATCTGAATCAATTTCTTGTGCCATTGTCAAAACCGTTGTATTGTGGCATGACCCCGGTGCTCCATTCCAAATATATGTAAATAACATATTGAAATCACATATTGCCATGAGGTTGAAAGATGCATTATCATGTTGATTCCAATATCTTCCTTGTAATTCAGGCTTCACTTTCACGCATACATGTGTTCCATCCATTGCTCCCAATAATCCACTAAAGTACAAATAATATGTTCGATAAACTAGAAGTCTTTCAGGAATTCGGTATAGTTATTTTCTTGTTGGAGTTCTAGGGTCTAAATGGTAATCGCTGAATGTTGCTGAATGCAAAATCTGGCGGAATTAAATAATTTTTTTTGCAGAATCTGGCTGAATAGTTAGTAATAAGAATGGTAACAGCTAAATGTTGTTGAATGTTGCTGAATGCTGAATGCGGAATCAATACCTAAGAACTTATTTGTGTAACAGAATAACAAAATAATTACCTAATTAAATTAATCAAATAAATAAAAACATAAAAATGTGAAATAAATAAACTGTGATAAAATATAAAATATTATTTAAAATAAATAGAAAATTCATAATAATTTAACATCAAAGTTAAAAAGTAAAAATGTACAGTTAAAAATATCATATTTTTGATATTATCAATTCATTAATGAAAAACATCTCTTGATGAATTTTCTCGTTTATTACGTACATATAGGCATCGTATGTTGTTCCCTCTTGTTCTTGCACAAAGTTTATGTGTTATAGAATTTTCTAACTCTGTATTAAATCTTATTATAGTTTAGTTAATTAAGTATTATTAATAAACATTTCCATATTCATATATTATTTTCTAAACATTTTTATTATGTGGATCCACATCCGACTTTTTGTATTTGGTTCATAATTTTATTAATAAGATTTGGTTCCAGAAACTCTAAGAACCCGAATATTTGGAGCTGATTGAATCGGATGCCGGATAAATTATCCACTCATAAAAGGAAAAAAAAAGACACATAAGTTTAGTTATATAATAATTAATATTATTAACAACTTACACAATTTATCAAAAATAAAAAATAGTTAAGGGTATATTTGCTGAAATAATTAATGAAATACTGAACTATTTGTTTAGTTCAATTTATAAATAATTTAAGTTCTACTAAAAATATTAATTATCAAATTTTAATTGTAATTTTCAATCAATCACAAAAATTAAGTACATGAAAATAAAGAGAAGATTGTGGAATTTAGTGAAGTGTGAGACCAATGCCAAACTACTGTTCCAATAAAATTTTCAGTATGAAATTTTTGAATAATTAACTTTATACTGTGAATTTTTAATAAACTTTGGAATAAATATCAGTTATCAAATGTAAGACTTATTATAATTTTCAATAAGACTTCTAAAAGCATTATGTGATTTTTGTCCTTTTTTTACTATTCCACAATTCCTCAATTCTTCAATTCTTCATGACTGGAGTTTTTCAAAAATAATTCAGCCACATTCCTCAAGATTTTTCAAATCCTCAATTACCAGTTAGGGTCCTAATATAATCACATGCCATAATTCAGTCGCCGTAAGAACTTCTTTAAATTTTCTCTGCACAGTCTCCTATTTCGGCCAAATCTCATACCAACATCTCTTTGAACTTCATTGTGCCCACATATCCGTAGAAATATAGCGACACTTTCTTCAATGCTTATATTTAATATGGTTATAGGCCATAATTTGTCTGAAGCTTCACACAAAGCTGTAAAACATGGTAGTGACATTCGTAATAACTGAAGACAAGCATCATCATCTTGTTGTAGTCGACGCCAAATATTTCTCCACCCCAAACCTCTGTCAGTTTGAACCGGCGCTCTTTCAAAATACCGATGATAGTACGTAAGTGTTGGGTGGATAACTAACTCTTCAAATTGCTCATTTTCCAAATTCCACAATTCAATTCTCTCTTCATAGTAAGGTTGTGGATGCCTTGCGATCTCAACTGACATATACGAAAAGCCTGAAATGTTAAACATAAGATAAATTGATGTCATTAGGAAAATCATAACTAATATTAAATAATAGTTAACATTTAAAATTAAAAAATACTCAATATATGAATTAATTTATTACATAAACGAGAATGATGAAATATGATTTATTTTATAACATAAATGAGAACTAATGAAAAAAGATCTATCATAAACTAATCTTCGTCTTCCGAATAACTTTGATGAGGTTCATTTATATTTGTGTTTGTTCCTCCTGGAGTTCCCCATATATTGAAAAGACCACTAGGTCTAGGTGTTTGTGAAGTATGTCCAGATTCAAAATAGTTGGTGAAATCAAGACCGCGTGGTGATGTTTGTTGAACGTTTGGTGAAGCTCTTCCCGTTGCACCATCATAATTATCTTGTTGAGTATTCCTTAGACTTCCTCCTTCACCCCCAAGTAAAAATCCATATTGAACAGAAAATCCATATTGAACAGTTGTTGGAGTTGTCCCTGATGAGTTGCCTTATTGAAAATTTTGAGTCAGGAGGCTTGATGAAAGTTTGATGGTGAAGCAGAAGGCTGAAAGTTTGGAGAAGCCCCCATTGGTTGAGCATTTGGTGGTGTTCCCTACTGTGAGCATTTGGTGGTGTGCCCCATTGTGGAGCATTCGGTGGTGTGCCCCATTGTGGAGCTGGTTGGGGTGATCCCCATTGTTGAGCATTTGGTGGTGTGCCCCATTGTTGAAAACTGGGAGCCCATAATCCTCCTGAACTTTGTCCTCCTAAACTGTTACGACAAAGATGGACTTCCAGATGATATCCCTCTTGAATGTGGACTCCCATACGATTGGCTTTGCCTAATGTTTCGCACATCTTGGTTGTTTCGTGAAACACCAGTCATTGCTTCCAACATTTGTAGCTTATCCTCGTCTATACTTCCAGCTAAATCGATGAAATATTTACGCCAAAAGACTAACTCTTTAAGTGAATTGAGACATGTCTAGTAAAATTTAGTACCTTTGGAACCTTCTGCCTTTTTCCATTCATCGTAATCATCTTGGTCAAAAGCACCTGACGAAGTTGTTGCAAACTTTGGCGTTGGAACTCTGTATATCCAGCAATGGTGTCTTTTATAGTTGTTTCAAAGGATTGTCTTCTACGACCCTCCTCGTGAACCAGTTTACTAGAAAGTTGTGAACCTCCAACTATTCTTTCTGAATTACTTTGACGTCTAGCGTTTGCCTGCAAATTAGCATTTCTCGTTGTTGGCCTCTACATGGTATTTGGGACCGTTTCATTCAAAGGATGTATATCCTCATCAACTATAACACGATACACTTCTTCATCTTCTTGCGTCTCCTGAACTTGAGTTTCTGGAATATCACCACTATCAGTGTTAGAGCCATCATCATTGTCATCATCTACTGCATGGTCATTGATATCTCTTCTCTTTTTGATGTGAAGAATGTTGGGATTGTGAGCGTACATCATGTAATATGAGACATCGTACCATCACATCCCAAAACTCGGCGGTTTTCGGTTGAATCCTTTGTTCTGTTACATCCCTATAAATTTAGAGCCGTTAGCTTACCAGCTAAACTTTTGTACATATTTTAATAACTAAAAAAAGAAGTGTATTCGCCCTAATTATTCTCTCCTAGGCTCAACTCCCAAGACCGCCGTCCAGCTCTTTCCACCACCGTTTTTGCCCGATTTCAGGATGTCTCCCTTCCACCGGAGACCTTTTACCTGAGATCGGAGCACCCTCTTTTTCCCGGCTTCCCTTTGGAGTCTCTGATGGTCTTTTTTTCGCTTTTTCCGCCGGTGATACGATCTCCGGCGAGATCTGTGCAACCATACTTGGTTCTTGCTATCTTACTGGTCGGCGACTCTCTCTCTCTGATGGATATTTCGATCGGATCTATGAACCTTTTGAGGACGGAGCTTTCGTTTTCCTCGTCCATCGTGCCGGAGATGTTTGACAGTTCGTCGACTCTCTCTCACCTCTCCGTGAGTCACCTTTTGGCTTTGCCGGATCTTCCTCCCAAACCACCGGATCCGCCGGTTATTCCTTGCGCTCAATCTTCATCATCGATGCATGTGTTCGCTCATCTTTCGCCTGAGACCCTCAGATCTAAATAAACAGAGGGTTAATTGACTTGAATCGAATCGGTTTCACAACCGAGAACCTGTGTCGACCGACACACGCCCATGTCGTCGCTCGACACAAGGTTTTAAACCTCCAAAAACAGTTTGCGGACGTTACAACTCTTCCCCACTAAATTGGATTCGTCCTCGAATCCCAACTCCAAATGTCACGAAGACTACAAAACCGGACCTCGCAAGGCCGCAACACTGGAGATCCTCATCTGATCCCCGAGACGTACGTCAAATCCCATGTCATAAGCACATTCCAAGAAATTTTCACTCTTAACTAATCATCCACAACACACAAAAACTTGTACCGAGGCCCAATTGCACCCTGACAAGTCCACACCGGTCCGCACTGAAGCCTACTTGCACCCAGACGAACCCGAAACCGCTTATACTGAGGCCTACTTGCACCCAGATAAGCTACAGTCAACTGAGGTCTACTTGCACCCAGAGAGTCTGCCAGAGAACGAAGTCTCCAAAAATCATGATGAGTTATTCAGAATCGCAATCCTTAGAGTAAAAATTCTGGAAAACGTCTATAACAGTAAGATTAGACCGTTTCACGACCAAAACTGGTCAAACACATGTGTAACATCGGAGCACCATTTCACAACACAAGACAAAATGAGGAAAAAACTACATCTCATTAAAACTCCAAAAATGTATATCGTTACAACGAAAACAAAAATACAATAACACTAAAGCCAAAAACAACCACTGAGGCTACAAAGATGAAATAAGCTCACTCCTCTATCTGCTTGTCGAACCACTTCCTGAACTTCAACTTCATCTTTGCCTCTGGCTCCCAAGTCTCCTCTGTAGAACCACTACAATCCCACAAAATCCTCAGTAAGGGAATCCTCTTGGAGAACCCAGTAGCATCCAGTAGCACCCCTCAACTGATCCAACAACTCATCAATCCTCGGGAGTGGGTACCTGTTCTTCACAGTGACTCGGTTAAGACCTCTGTAATCGATACAAAGTCTGAAACTCCATCCTTCTTCTTCACAAACAACACCGGTGCTCCCCACGGTGAAACACTCGGTCGAATGAACCCCTTAGACAAAAGGTCCTCTATCTGCTTTTCAGCTCTGCCAACTCAGCTGGCGCCATCCTGTAAGGCGTCTTCGATATTGGCTGTCCCCGGCTCTAACTCAATCGTGAAAGGATCAGACCGAGATGGTGGTAATCCCTTCAATGACTGAAAGACATCCTCAAACTCCTGGACAACCTCAATATCACCCATAACAACTCCAGCTCCTGACTCAGACATAGAAATCTTCGCCAGATACGCCTCACAACCCCGCACTAACAACTGCTCAGCCTGAATAGCAGATATCACAATACTCCCGGAAGTCGGTCTCACTCCCTGATAAACCAACCTCCCTGCATCTCGCTCGAAGACTACTCTGCCTCTGTAGCAATCCAGATGAACTCTGTAGTGACAACCAGTCCATCCCGAGAATAACATCATACAGCTCCACCGGACTGATGACCAAATCTGCTGGCATTGACTGCCCCGCAATCTCGAATCTCGACTCCTCTAGCACGGCCCAAAGTAGACAAGAATCCACCTCCCGCCACCTTGACCATGCATGCGCCTTCACCAGCGCTACTCCGGATGCCACTCTTCTCGGCACGCTCCGGTGTAATGAAGCAATTCGATGCTCCTGAGTCGAACAAACGTGGGACTCAAAACCGCCCACTAACAAGGTCATTACGCAACACATGCGTTGAGAACCTCCACAATTCTATCACAGAAAAAAAACAAACTACAACCACCACAAATGCGCGTCACCACTCAGATAGTGGACCGCTAACTCCACATGATACTAAACTAGCCATCTGATAGACTGAAAATTCCGCTCCAATCTCTGACGCCACTTATCTACCACCTCTGGGCTAACTCCGCCTTCAAAGTACGGCGTACCAATCCTCTGCATGTACCCCATCCTATCCAAATAGGACGGCACCATAAAATCCCGCAGCCTTCTGCTGCACCTCTTCCACTGGAGGTACTCCCCGAGCCCCCTGTGGAACCACTGACGGAAAACGAGCCAATAGTTGCGTCAGTAAACGCACCACCAAATCATCTCGACCCGGAGCCGGAGCACCGTCCCCACCCCGAACAGCCCCCGCTCCCAAACCAAACTGCATCAAAACTGGCCTCACTCGCCACGCAGTCGCCACACTCGGCGCTGCACTCTCTTCCGAATCCGCTGGAAGTCCACGACCTCGACCCTGGCCTCAACGGCCTCTAGCTCTGCCACCACGGCTTTTAGCACCGCGCCCTCTCGCGTCACGACTTCTAGCTACTCAGTCCATCTCACTCATGGAACCGAAAAGAGCACACTAGAACATGCAACCAAATCTCAAAACAAACATGCGGAATCTCCTAAAGCTGAAGGGGATGATGGTAAGCCTCGCAATTCTAACAGTCTTAAAACCGTCTAGGCTTTGATACCAAAATGAAACAACCAACATTTTTTTTTTAATATTTTTAAGTACTAAACAATTCTAGCTAAGGTCTTTAAAATAAATCAAATAAATAATTCAAATAAAAATATTAAATCAGTTCAGCGGAAGCAAATAAATAATTAAACAAGTCTAACAAAACAATGCAAAATAAATAAAAGCCGTAAACATCCTATCATCCCCTTTTCACCGTCGATTCCACGATCACACAAATCTTTTACCTGCAACACATTGGAATGGAGTTGTATAAGTAGTTACTAAATACTTAGTGAGGCAATCACTCTACCTATGGGTCATTTACGCAATTACTAGATCTTTAATATTGTTTATAAACTCCAATAATTATTAAATACCATTTTTCAATTATTAAATAATTCTTAATAATTAAATAATAATTTTCCATAATTAAAAAGTTTTATATAATTGTTTTAAATCATTTAATTAATTAAATAACCAATAATGAATTAAATACCGAAATAAACCAATCCAATTTGTCTTAACCAATTCAATTAATTTAAACCACACAGAAATTCAATTAAACCATTAAATCAATTTAAACCGAAATTAACCGGTCTGTGTCGACCGATACACGCTTTGTGTCGCTCGACACACGCTTTGTGTCGCTCGACACACGCTTTGTGTCGCTTGACACACGATTTGTGTCGCTCAACACCGATTCCAAAAACGCAGAAATCGATCTATGAACAGTATCCGATTTACAGAAAGTCACAAGAATTCACCCATCATCTCAAATCAACAACAAAACACAGCCATCACAACACGAATCAACACACAATCACGCACATAACCTGAATCTAGTAATCACGGACCTACAGTAATGCACTCACCTCGATTTTATGTTGAAAAGAGGGAAAAATGGATTGAAGAAGATGAACTGATGATGAACGGCGAAGAACGACGACACAGCAGCCACCAGCAACGACCCGAGCTCTGAATCGACGACAACTAGCCTCAGTTCGCAACTCCTCACACCAAATCGCCTCTAGAAATCTCTTCGCCCTTGTTCTTGGCTCACTAAAAGACAAAAGAGAAATAGCCAGAAAGCTGCTCGTGTTTTAACTCGTGAAAAGAGGGTTTTCCAACTCAAACCACTAAACTGGGCCCAATTGACTTGAATTGAACCGGTTTCGCGACCCAGGACATGTGTCGACCGACACATGCCCACGGTGTCGCTCGACTCAAGGTATTAAACCTCCAAAAACAGTTTGCGGATGTTACAACTCTCCCCCACTAAATTGGATTCGTCCTTGAATCCCAACTCCAAACGTCACAAAGACTACAAAACCCGACCTCAAATCCCGTCGCAACACTAGAGATCCGCACCTGATCCCCGAGACGTACGTCAAATCCAAGAAATTCTCACTCTTAACTCATCATCCACAACACACAAAAACCACTTGTACTGAGGCCCACTTGCACCCAGACAAGTTCACACCAGTTCGTACTGAGACCTACTTGCACCCAGACGAACCCAAAACCGCTTATACTGAGGCCTACTTGCACCCAGATAAGCTACACTCAACTGAGGCCTACTTGCACCCAGAGAGTTGCCAGAGAACGAAGTCTCCAAAAATCATGATGAGTTATTTAGAATCGCAATCCTTAGAGTAAAAATTATGGAAGACGGCTACAACAATAAGATTAGACCGTCTCACGACCAAAACTGGTCAAACACATGTGTAACATCGGAACACCATTTCGCAACAAAACACAAAATGAGGAAAAACTGCATCTCATTAAAACTCCAAAAATGTATAACGTTATAACGAAAACGAAAATACAATAATACCACAGCCAAAAACAACAATTGAGGCTACAAAGATGAAATAAGCTCACTCCTCGACCTGTTTGTCGAACCACTTCCTGAACTTCAATTTCATCTTTGCCTCTGACTCCCAAGTCTCTTCTGTAGAACCACTGCAATCCCACAAAATCTTCAGTAAGGGAATTCTCTGTAGAAATATAAGAGTAAATATAGAACCTATAATATTTTTATAAATAAAAATTAAAATATTTTTTAAATAAATTATTACTAAATTATATTTTAATTTCGTTTTTCTAAATGAATTAATAAAATATATTAGTATTCATACATATTATATGCTCTAAATATAGTTTTAATTACACAGAGATTAAATTATGCAACTAATAGTGTTTTTGTTTTTTTGCCCTCAAATTTTTTTTTATATTAAACCCAAATAGGCTAAAAGTGATACAACTGATTGGGCCCAAAATTAAACTGAACACTACATACATGATACATATACGTAAAGCACATGAGTTGAAAAGAAAAAGACCCATTTGTAATATTAAAATGTATACATTTTTTAGAAAATTACCTTAAACTGAAGTTTTTCTTTCAAAGATAAAATGAGAAAGGGTTATTTTAAATTTTTACGTAGAAAGTATACTCATATAATTTTAAAATGTATAGAGAAGAGAGTGTTTTATTTCATAAAGTGTATATGGAGGAAAATGTATTTTCATGATGAAAGAGAGTTTAAATAGATCGATTTTTTTTTATCAGCTGGACCTTTGCGGTTTTCAAGCAGACCGCTGGTTTTTAGCTGTCGTATAAATTTGTGGTGCGGTTTAATGTCTAGTGTGTAATTATCCTAACTTTTTTACTAATAATAAAAATGCTTGATTAGTGGACATTTGCGGTTTTTTAAAAGAAGTTAAAAACGCACCGCTTTTTTTTGTCTCTATTCAAAGCCTAAATATCCATTTGTTTGTATTCATTTATAGGCTGAGCTACTTTATGGGTCTAAATAGTAGTTGAGGAATTTTGCTTAATGTGAAATCTGGCTAAATAAAATGATGAATAGTTGTGAAATGTGGCTGATTAGTTAGTAATATGAATGGTAACAGCTGAATAAATAGCTAACAAATTATTTGTGTAACAGAATAAGAAAAATTTTACCTAGTTGAATTAATCAAATAAATAAAAATATATACTTGTGAAACAACTAAATACAATATTAAATAAAAAAATTATTCAAAATATAAAATTTAGCAATTTGGATTTAAAGTAATTTATTATACATTAAAAAAATACATTTGAAATATATTATTGAAGCACTAGTTATTTAATGAAAATTATCCCATATTTGCTGCTTTATTCCTTCTCGTATTGTTTGCATATAAACATCATGTTGTTCCTTCTTGTTCTTGCAAAAAGTTTACTTCTTCATTTTCTCCACCTTCTCCATTGTTACTAAACTGTTCTCGTGGAATTGCGTCAACATGCAAAGCATCATCAAAATCAAAATCTGAATTTGAGAAAGACGAATGAAGTTATGCAATCCAGCTGTGCTTATAATGATTTTGTTTTGTGTTTCCACCATATCGGGAAACTCTGATAAAATCCTCCATTTTTTCTTCCAAACTCCAAATGTTCGTTCGATCACTGAGCGGAGTGAAGAATGCCACCGATTAAACAACTCTTCTTCATCTCTAGGTGGAGAGCCAACTTGAAAATGTGGCAAATGATACCTATGACCTCTAAATGGAGCTAAATATCCTCTTGTTCGCATAACCGAATCTACAAGATAATACTTGGATGGCGGAGGAGTCGGAAAAGTTGAATCACGCTCCATTGCATAAGACAAAACTCTAGCATCATGTACTGATCCAGGACATCCTACAAATATGTAAGTGAATAACATATCATAGTTGCATATCGCCAAAACATTAATGCTTGTTTGTGAATGCCTGTTGTAAAATCGAGCTGCCTCGCCACCAGCTCACCATAACCGTACAATGAGTGCCATCCATTGCACTAATAAAACCATTAAAATAAGGCCAATATTGAGTATTATCTCGTAAACCTCGAGGTACTTGTCGGAGTTTCTCTGGAGACTGCTTCTTAATAATCTACCAGTTAGTTTCTGCATGCTTTTAGACATTCTTGAAACTTTGCGTCCAACTGTTTCTTGTGCTCGTCCGAATAAGAGCCCAACCGAGTGTTGTGTCATGTTATGACCACATATAACAGAAACATTGCCACTGTTTCTTCCACCGATATGTTTTTTGTGTTTCTCACTCCAAAATCTGTGCGCAATGTGTCACATAGACGTGTAAAGACCTCTATGCGCATCCTCAAAAGATGTAAGCAATCTCTTGGATAATTATAAATTCTTGTTTTTAATGTTGCTCCATCCTAAACCCCATTCAGCTCCCATTGTTGTCGATTATAAATACATTTTATAATAATCTATCACAGGCCTGAAGAGTACTTCCATGACATCCATATGCTCCAGAAAAATAAGTTCAAGTAGCTCATCGTTTGTGAGGTTATGTAATCCACGTGAATACAACTCGATAATGCGAGGAACCTGGAGATAAATATAAATTCATTAATAAACACATAAAACAGCAACAAAACATTGATTAAACGTAAGAGAAAGACTATATCTAATATATATTACATAATAAAAACTAAGAACCACTGAGTTGACGTTTCCACGGACTACCCCAAAAAGTACCACTGCGATCATAACCTGTCACCCCTTCTAGAAAACGAACCCTCTCTTTGCTATCTTTTAGAAGCACAAACCTCTTTTGCTCAAACGGATCTCTTAAAATCTCTGATGATGCCCACCAAAAATCAGTAAATTTTTCTATGTTTTGTAAGGCATTTAGTTGCAACCAAGATTCAGGCTCATACTCTTGATTTGCTTGGCTACGAGCATTCAGCTTCTGGATTGGCGTTTGCATTGTTGCAAGATATGACTCAATATTTGTTAGATGTGTGTCCACAACA